GATTCGGAACGGCGAATGCCCAAGAAATGTGAAAACATAAGTGACCAGCAGACGGCGATATGAAGAATTAACAAAATACCAAGAATATTTTCAGTAATAACAAAAGGCAATGAGACAAAAATAAAACTAGTGGTATATGACATCGTGCCTTGAAGCAAATTGCTGGAACTTTCCGTTCCATATATATCCGTTTTCAAATATATTATTATAAATACTGTAACTTTCATTAATCGTATTTTATAGACAAAACAAAAGAGCTTTTAAATTGGACGATGACGTTTATATAAGTTTACATGAAAAGTGATCGAGCAAAACTTAATCAAGCGGAATTAGAATGAAGGACCTTATCTTATATTTCTAAGAACTATATGAACTGAACAACAAACTAAAAATTAATTTTGTCACAAGTATATAAGGGAGTTTAAAATTTTAGCTAAAATTAAAATTAAAATCACATTTATTATCTATATTAAAAAAAATTTAAAATTACTATATTAAAAATGTTTTTCCCCAAAAACGATCGTTTCATCAATACAAGCACAAAGTTTTTTGAATCATTCTAATCGGATGCTCCGTTCTCTCAAAAAGTGCCATTATTGCACATAAGTTTCGTATCTTTGAAACTGTCTTTGCCAAAAACTAAACAGCACATCAATTTTCTTCTAAGGTATGCTAAAATATTCAGAAACCTTTGAAACGTGAAGATATGCAAATATTTTCATTTTAGATTTTTAGCCAATTACTATAACTTACCCTACGGGAATTTAATATAAAAAACTCGTTTAAATAAATGACCAAAATCTTCAAATTGAAAAACCGCAAATTACATGATTCAAGATTTTTTTTCATATTATTTTTTGAAGAAAAATTAGAACTTAGAAGTCCTATAAACTGTTGTGCTAATGTGACCTAATACTACGTCAGTTAATATTATATTATTACAAATTCTGTATAAGGCCGAATTTTTATCTATGCAGCAATGTCGGATGAGGACTATTTTTACTTGTTGCTATCTATATTTCCGAATGAAAACTGATGTCACTACTGCTTGACATTAGGCTGCTCGAAGCGGGTATCTTAAGAGTGAGTACGAATTAGAGTTTATAATATTTAATTATGTTTATAATATTTAGATCTAATTTGAGAAATACAATAAACTCGTAAAATATAATAAGACAGAGTATGTTATACGGACTTTATATAAGAGGATCAAAATATCGAAAATATAAATTAAGTATGTATATAAAAAATAGACCTAAATTTGATGAACTGATAAAAATACATATTAGCAGATCAGGGAGAAAAAAAAGTTATAGAAAGGTTGTTTTTGAAATTTTAATTAATATAATAAAACTCAAAAAATAATTATTAAGGAATCTAAGATAGAAAAAAAAATACTAGATTAAAAGATAGATAAGGCTTTACTAATAGAATCTTTAAAACTAGAATAATAGAATAAGTATATATACAATAATAGTAAGTAAACCAACACTACAAGTTTAAAAAAAATATATTGAACTATTATAAAATTTAAATATGGAGTTCTCATTTGTAACAGCAAATCCGACTTATTGGAAAAAAATCAATTTTCTAAAAACATTCAAGAGTTTATATTTTTATAATAATCGTAACATATAGCTTTTAAAGTATATGTTAATAAAGAATAACTTCTTATTAATTTATATTAATAAATCAATAATTATAATTAATTATGTATTCAAGCCATCTATGCATAATAATAAATATTATAACGTAGTAACTTACTCTAAGTTTTATAATAATATTAATTTTATTCTGATCAAATCTGATTGTATGTACTTGTTTTTATCTTATAATTAGAGGTAGAATTTTCACTACTTCTTATTCCAAGGCTAAATATCTGGTGATAGTTAAAGTCTTTTTGTATTTTTTGAAAATATAATTGTTATCGTTAATAAATTTAAATTTTTTGATTAGTAACCAAACTACTTTAGATAATATACTTTTTAGATTCGTAATCAGATTAAAGACTACAATTTGATTTGAATTATAATTCCTTAAAACTGAAATTTAGATTAAAGAATAGTCGTATGCATATATGATAACATCAAACCTATAGAATTGATGTCAAAGTACGAAATAAATTGATAAACAAAATATATTAGAATTTTAATATATGTGAAATATGCAAACGAAAAATTAATATTCTGCATTATAGTGTTGAACAATTTAATTACCCATAATTGAAAGAAATTTAAAGTAAAGGATGACTAAACATAATATTATTCAGATTTGAAGTAATAGTTATGAAAATTTATTATAGTTTAAACAATTGTTTCGTTATCTTATATACACATGTTGTGAATTCATGTAAGAATGTATTTTTATCATTAAATGTATTTAAAAATCTTATAAAAACAAAAAACAAAAACTGTTCATTAGTCCTGTTCATATTTTTAATAAGAAATGGAAAATATAAAAAATAAGATGACGTTTAAATTATTATTAAAGATCCATCAATACATAAGAAGTCATCGGATTAAAAATATATTATAGGATGTTCAGAAAAACTTTAAAAGTAACCCTTTGCAAGAATTTAATAAAAAAAATCTAATTTCTTTCGAATGACTTTTCGTTTTTGGTGTTGAGAACATGATCTCTTGGGTTTTATTTTTTGAAGATATTTTTTCATGGATATTTTATTTTTATATGTAGTCTTTAATATGTGAAAAAATACCATCGAATTAAAAAAAGTTATAAAAACTTAATTAAAAGCAAAAATAATCAGTTAAATACAATTTTATAAAAAAAGTGCCATAAGAATTAGTACTTATACAAATATTGCAGTAATCACATATAAATTCAATCATGTGAACTAATATTAATTAATAATATGAATAATTTATAAATCACCTTTGCATTTTTTGGCAAAATTACTTACACAAAAGGACTCGTTTTTGAATAGATAGTTCAAGAAAAAACTATTTTCTCGAAAATACATGAAAATATTAAATCTTCTCTAAAAAAAGGATTAAAATGACCAAACGGTAGAACATTAAATAGTATTCTCTGAACAAATTTTGTAATTACATTAAATAAAATTGTAATTTACTAATAATTTATTAAATTCTTCGAAGAAAAGTTTGGTTTCGCCAGAACATTCAATTTACTAATTATATGTTTTCTCGGCATTTCAAGTCATTTCGAATCGTTCGACAACAAAATTTAACTTTTTGTTGACGTTTACTCAAAAATGACTATTTTGAAAATGCAAACTTACTTATTATTGTTACAAGCCACTGCATTAGAACAAAATTCTATTTACACCAAGTTTCTTATTATTAATGATTTGTTAATGTCATTCACTTCTGTGAGGGCTAAACATCGAGTCACGTTAATAACATAAAAATTGATTTAGTTCGAATTTACGAATTAAATGGCGAGATAAGAGATTTTGTAACAAACACTATAATTTCTAAACATATTGATTATGATACTAACGCCAATGTTGCATAATACATTAAATTCATAGTAATAAAAACTGAACTTAGTTGGTATCATTGGTATTAGTAGCATAATCATATAGAAATTTGATTTTTAGTACCTAAATTACACGGGGAGACAAAAGACAATGTATAAAACAATAGAATATTCTATAAAAAAATATTATACTTCCTTAATATATTTTTACATGATATTTAAATTTCGTAGTAATAAAACCTAGACCTTACAATCAACAATTTAAGGAAAATAAAAGTTGGTATCATTGGTATCACTATCGTATAGATATCTAATTTGTAATATTCAAATTAAATTTAATTAAATTATATAAAAGGTACTACATTTAACTTCCCGTAGTTGATATAGTAATCGCAAAAAAATCGAAAATAATTTTTCTTTATATATCTTTACGTTATAGGATCTTCTGAACACTTTGGCATACCTTACAATTAGAATAAATGGTTGTATAGGAGTGTGTGTGTATGGAAGTATGTATGTATGTATGTTTGGAAACAAATTTTTGTCCACTATTTCGAGCGCACGATTCAACCGTTCTAAATGATTCCTAAAGCAATCTATTTCTATTGATGGGATGATGTGCTGATTAATTTTTGGCAAAGGCAGGCCCAACCGTTTTGTATATACGGGGCAAATAATGCAAAAAATGGCAATTCAGTTTTTAGAGAACGGAGCATCTGATTTGAATGAAACATTTCACAGAATGAAGAATTGATTGAATTTTTGGGAAGGCAGTTCCAGCGGTTTCGGAGATCCAATAAAAAAATTAAAAATAATGCGCTTTGGCAGTCAAAAATGATGCACATCAAATTATCAGACATTTTATAGGGATTTTAATAATAAGTATAAATTATGTTTACATTTCTATGAATTCCGTACCAAGAATTTCTGTTCGACTAAAAAAATTTGAAAAAAATTGAAAATGTTAAAAAAATTTTAAATTAAAAAAAATGAAAAAAATAGTTTTAAAAAGAATTTACAAAAAATGTTAAGGCATTTAAATTTTTTGATATTTTTAAAGCTTTAACATTTTTTGTAAATTCTTTTTAAATTTTTTTTTTCATTTTTGTTTTAAATTTTATTTTTTTTTTAATTTCGTTTTTTTAATTTAATTTCAATTTTTTTTAATTTTTTTTTTTAGTCAAACAGAAATTATTATTACAGAAATCATTACACTAATTTGCCTTAAAATATTAAAAGTGGTGCCATGCACCACTAGTTTCTAAATATATTCTTGCATAATATTTAAAATTCGTAGTAATAGAAATTTAACCTTGGAATCAGCAATTTAGGAAAAATTTAACTTCGTATCGAAATTGTGCATAAATATTGAAATTTAGGTGGAATCTAATAGGAATCCATTGAGCAGTCTGACATTCCAATATATTTCTTGTAAGCTAAAAATTACTTATGACACTTCAAGTGCAATTTTTGACAACATTATGGGAACGCATATGGTAACTTATCCAACATACAATAATGTTTTACAGAACAAAACTAACCTTTAGTTTAATAATTATCCATCATTTGCAAACTGACAGAACGCCATATTTTCCCCAGCTGTCTTCAGTAAAATCTGTATCCAGTTAATCCAAATGGAAACACTATTTTATTCATACACACTTAAATGCACTGATTCACTTAACACTTCAACACTTGCTCACTGTTTAAAACTATCCATTTAACTAACAATTAACATAACTGATTGTTTAAATTAAATCATTTTAATTAAAAAATGACACTGTTATTTTATTAGAATCGAGGAACACAGACCTACAGACCGATCGGAGTGTATGCAACTACTAAGTGAAGCGGTAAGCGAGTAACAGCTTGGAATGCCGCCGATTGCCGGCCGACCCGGTGTCGGTGTATCGCCTGTGCACATGGTTGAAGTTGTCCCTTTCGCGCGCGCGCGCTTGCCTATGTTGCCGTCCCGCTCGGCAAGTGCGATGCACGGGTACCACGCTACCACGAAGACAAGGGCGCACGGATTCTTATAGGATTCGTATGAATTTATAGTTTTATTAACGTTCACCTTTTACTTAATGCGAAACACTAATTTTAAAATTTTAAATATTATTTGTGACTAGAATATTGTATAAAACGCACTTAAACCACATTAACCACGTGAGCCTTAAAGGGGGTTTGACAAAGTTTGACAAAAAATCACGAAATATTACGTAAAGGGAGAGAGAGTCTAGTGAGATATCACATATATTAATTTTTCAACTCAATTTAAAAAAACTAAAACTTTGCAAAAAAAAATCATACATACTAGTACAAGTACATACTAAAAATACATGTTATGTTGTAGCGTATGGGGAAGAGGGGGTAATTTTAAATATCACCACGTATCACCAAGGGTCCAGAAATTCTTATAATTAGAAATCGTATCACTTTTCATATTTGCTCTGAAGCTGCAATCTCGTTTGGCAGTATCCAAGTATCCTCAGCTGTAAATATTAAAGATACTTCCAAACACTTTCAACAGTGTAATATGATTTTTTGTGATTTTTTTTTTCCATTGTCTATTTAATTTATTTAACTTATACAACCAATAATGTTTCAAATGATATATATCAATGAATTGTATTAGTATCAGATGATAGGTATACAAAATCTTATATACTTACTTTTTCTTATATGTAATATAATTTGGAACAAATAAATCTTTTCAAACAAACAAATTTAAACATTTTGATTAAATCATAAATCATAAATATTTTGTGGTCTAATATAAAGTAATTTTGTAAAAAAAAATGTAACAGCAATTAGTGAAACTTATGCAAGAAACTCAGGTATTTATGCAATTTAGGAAAATTGGTGAATGCGGTCATTTTAGACGCATGTATTAATACAGGAATGCCTTAAATATAATATCTTAAAAAATATTACTTTTTCTTCTGAGATTTATTTAATAAAATTAGTGAATACTTAATTATATACTGAAATCTTGGTATGAATGTGTCTGAGAATTTCTAACTTATATATTGATAAATATTGCAAAGTACAAGTTTTTTCAAAAATGTTATTAAGTAATCTATTTTTTTTTAATTTCTAATTTTCTAATACTAAATAGCATATTGCCCAACATATCTAAACTAAAGTATTGAATGTGCAAGCGAATTTAATGTTTTGTGTTGTGACCTTGTGACAATTAGACTTTGGATTTAAACCTGAATTGAACAGATTGAAATTGATTTTTTGGAAACAATGATTAAGAGAACACCGTTCGGATCTTGTAAAACATCAAATAGCGATTTTCTGTAATTCAAACACTGATGTAAATAAGGATGAACAACTAAAAAATTGAATTTCGTAATTTACATGTAAATAAAGATCTGAGTGTTAAAACAATATGGCAAATAGTTTCTGAAAAACCTTCACTTGATATAAATTAATCTGTTTATTAGTGAAAAGTATTGTACAAAAAACAATTTCTACTAATAACATATGTCCAAATATAAAATTAAAATACAGAAAGTTTTAAAAAATTTTTGGAAGCAGAAACTTGTTTAATACGTGTATCTATACATATAAATAAAATTGGAGTGTCTGTTGAATATAAATAATACCAAATTAACTTTCTTTGTATTAGTTTTTTTGCTTTTTGCATTTTATTATATTTTAGTTAAAAATATTTTAAAAAAATTTTATATAATCGTATATCTTAAAAATTTTAAATTTTACCTTAAATTTTAATCTAAACTATTTACTTACATTTTTACAATTCTCTTTCACTTGTTATTGTTAGAAATTGTAACTTAAATGCATTTGTATTTAATATTCAGATTTACATCGATATTAATCATATAATTCATTGGTTATTTCAATTAGTTAATTTTTGTACTGATAGTGCTGTGAAAGTTGTTTCTTTTACTTTTTTTTATCTATACTTGCCTTGATCTTTCTCTTATAGTATACATCTCCCAGGATACTTTCAGTTCTTCAGTTATTCCAAGAACTTGAAATGATCTAAAATTTCAAATTCCCAATTTTCTACCATTATCTTCTGAGACTCATCTTATTGCGATACTCTTCTATCGTTCAACTTGTCGAAGTTGATCTGCTCATCATGTTTTATAGTTTGATTTCGGTTTTTGATATTACTATGAGACATGCAGCATCCTTGCTGAACTCTTACTTGATTTACACATATCATGGAAAACTAAGAATTATGTATAATATTTTCGATTACACTCCGTATATTATTAGTTGAAAATTATATTTAAATAGCCAAATCTAAATTTTTATTGATTAAGTTCATTATTTACACGTATCTGAGAGTTCGAAAATTTGCTTCGAAGCAAAATTCCACTTATACTAGTTTTATTTTATACTTGACATTTTGTTTGATACTTTATGATCGGTTGGACTTAGGATTTCCAATAACTAAAGTCTTCTTCATGTTTTTAGCGAAGACATTTATTGCATACACTGAATTATGCCAAAAGGTTAGGAAGCCTGGAAAGAAAAAGATATAAAAAGTTATGATGCTTGATAATTAGTAAATTGGATAACTTCCAATGAAAATCCGAGTGGGTATATTTAATATTTGACAGGCAATCAGAACCATTCCTTAACTTATAGTCAGTGTTATTAGAATGGAATCCAGTCATCATCTCTCATCTGACGAGGTTTTTATTATATTTTTATCTGAGACGGTCATCGTCTCGTGGTAAAATCGTAGAAAAGTAACCGAAAGTTCCAGGTTTGATACTTACTTCGACCAGCTTGATATCAAGCAGTAGTATTTCTAATGTTCCAGATTGCCAATGGTTGCAACAGTTACATAGCTATAGACTGCTCCGAGGATCATTTAGACCAGATGACCAAATTTGCGTACTACGCCAGACAACGTAATAATCTAATCAGAAGTGCAAGTACACATACACAAGGTATGCAAAAGCGTTAATTCAGATGAAAATTTAGTTACGTCAGGCAATTAGTGATATTACCAGATGATAATAATGGATATCTAAAAATATGTAATTAAGTGTAAATTGCCTTTTAGGGTCTTTTCAGATTTAGAAATACAAATCAAGTTCGAAATAAATGTACTATTTCTAAATCTAGAATTACATTTTTTGCACAAACATTAATATTTTGTTAAGTTCACAAATGAATTTAAACTTTCAATTTCTTCAGTTGTGGCGAGCATAGCTCATTGGTAGCGTGTTCGATTCACACGACAGGGATCTTCGGATCAAATCCTGTCATTGACTTAGAATGTAAAAAAATATGTGTAGTTAATTTGTAATCAAATAAAAATTGTATTTGTTAAGTGGAATTTGAATATGAATTAAGAAAAATAGGAATAACAGAATTCGAATAACTGGAGTAAGAAGAGAAATATTGGAACTTGCTGAAGTTAAAAGAAGAATGAAAAGAAAATGGAATGAAGCTAGAAGTTAAATAGAATTAGAAATTTGAAAAGAAAGAGCAAGAATTGAAGAAAATAAGAAGAAAAATGAAGAATATAAAAATAGGATACATATATAAATTGAAAATGATATAAAAATTAGAATGTAAATAACTAAAAATGTGGCTAAACAGGTGGCTAAATGCTCAGAGTAAGCGAGGCCAAATAAAATTAAAAAAAAAAAACAGTTCTGTGGTTTTGTGTTTTTGTGTCAGTTGTGTGCCTAGGACTTTGTGTAATATAGTTAATTTCAAAGAATAAGTTAATTAATAAATATGAATTAATTATTACCAGTTTTCAGTACCGACGGCACTGGCTTCGTCCACAACTTTACGATGCGAGTCATCCGTAGAATAGCTGTTCTGGTGCGGCGGTGGGGACACCAGAGCGAGACGAGGCGAACGACGTCCGACTCCGAAGACGAGACAACACTCAACACACACTCCAACTCCGGCTGCGCTCAGGTGAGACGGCGCAACGTGCAACGCCGAATGCGAAAAACAAAAAGATGACTGCATTGACCGACCGAAGTTCATGTCTAGGTATGTGTTTTAGAACAGAATATCATCACGTCATTAAAACGATAATGTTATTATGGATGGTGAAATACTTTTTTGCGTTAATAAAATGCAGTGTCGGAAGTGCAGGGACACAGGGTTGCTATCAATTGCTTTAATTTTTTAACTTCCCGTATGGCAAGTTATAGTAATCGCAAAAAAATGGAAAATGAAAATTTTTATATATCTTTACGTTTCAAAGGTTTCTGAATATTTTGGCATACCTTATTAGAAAAAATGGATGTATGTGTGTGTGCGTGTGTGTGTGCGGATACAAATTTTCGTCGACGATTTCACGAACATCGATCAACCGATTTAAATAATTTGAAAAACATTCGATTCGTACTGATTAGTTTTTGGCGGGGGCAGGTCTAGCCGTTCCGAAGATACGGGGCAAAAAGTGCCAAAAACGGTAACACGGTTTTTAAAAGAACGGAGCGTCCGATTTTAAAAATTCAACTAGTGCGGCGCATGGCATCGTGCCTTAAGGCAAATTGCTGGAACTTTTCGTACCAAAAATTATTTTTTTTAAAGGTTAACATTTTTGAAAAAAATTTACTCTGAAAAATTAAATTTTTGAGAAACTATAAATTTTTGACAAAAATTTACTTTTTTGAAAAAAAAGACTTTTTGAAGAAAAATGTATTTTGAAATATTTTCGAAATTCTGAATTTTTTTTTCAAAGCAATTGTACTGCTTTAACTGCATAGAGACGAAGCCGTCTAACGGATAAGCGTTGGTACGGAACCCATAGGAATGTAAACAAAATTTATACTTATTATTAAAATCTCTATAAAATTTCTGATAATTTGATGTGCATATGTCTAA